CGTACCCGAATAGGATGATTGCGTTGCGTACTTTTTCTTGAAATAATCCTCTATCTGATCCTCGCTCATACCACTAAAATCAAAATAAAAATGCCCGCATATTGCTTAACATAAAAATTCACTGGCATTTTGCGCTACTCAAAGGTCTGCAGTTAATGGTCCCTTCCATTGGTAGCTAAATTGGTCCCGCTGTGATTCATTTCAATGATAAATCGGTAGAGGTGAGCACTAAAGTGTCAAAAATAAATCCTTTTTCTCGAAACAACTTTCTTGCTAAGCGAGTAGATACTGCAAATCACAAACTACTAATCCTGGACTACATCTAGGAGCTTTTACCTCTTAGAGAGGATGAACTATACAAGCGAATATATGGCAAAAATCGCAATTTTTTCACGGTAACCTTAAAGTCCTAACAATGTAACTAACTAGTTGTGGGCCAAACTAGTAAGATTCGAAACCACCTAGTATTGCTCAACATACACCAAGGGAATTTCGAAACCGCTACAGTTTTACCAAGCAATTTTGTCCGCAGAATCGCTGGGATGGAAAACTTTTCTGTTGTCAGAATCAGTCATCAGAAAGCTGCCCACTGGTTAAAAAACTGGAAGATTTTTCTGAGGTATAGAAACATACTATGACTAATTTAGCTGATCCAACTATTGTAAAAAAAAAATGGCTTATAACAAAAAAGATTACTAAATTTGAGAGCTATGCGACTGTCTCTACGTATAGCCCAAAACACTCAATTTGGCTTCTTTGGAACTTTTATATCGTTAGTTTTACGGGCGGATTTGCTTCCTTTAGCTAATAGCTGTCACAAAAAGGGACACAGAAGAGGCACTGGATGAAAAGGATCACGAAAAATGAATATGACACTACCAAAATTTCTTACTCGATGAAGTAAAAATCACGACTTGGAAAGCGAACCAAGCTAGTTAGTTGTTGGTATAGGGCCAGTACATAAAAAGACTAAAGCTTCGAAATGACAATGAATGAATTCAAAAGTAATAAAAACTTGAAAAGGTCTCGTCGTCTTCCTCTACGATTCCTTTCATCTTGCTCCTTCATCATCCGCTCCGCTTCTTCTCTTTCTCTCGGATCAATGCCCATCTCATCACCATCATCTTCATAGCCATCTTCCTCCTCCTCCTCCTCATCAACTTCCACATCATCCAGAATGAACTGATGTACACCAGTTCTTCGCTGCAATTTGCTTTTGTTATTTGAAAATTCTTCAGGCACTGATAAATTCACCGATATAATTTGTAAATACAGTATCATGCAGTAAAAGAAATAAAAATAATAAATAAGTCCAAAATTGAACGAGCAGAAAAAGAAACTTTGGAAAACATCTCGTGCATTTGCACAAAGGCATACACATACATACATACACACACATACGTACACACGCATACGCATACACACATATACTGATACATACACATAAATACACATAAGCACGTACACACATACACACGTACACATACATACACATACACACACATACACATGCACACACATACATGCACACACATACACATGCACATACATACACATATATACACATAAACACACACACATATATACACATATATACACATACACACAAACTACCTATTCTAAATATATTCTTCATGCACTGCACGCGTCACACAATATATATACATACAGTTTATACTAGAGAAACGTATCATATATCTTATTTAGAGCTGCCAGGAGACATTTATCAGCAAGCGCAACTCGTAAAAAAGTAAACAACCACTCGAAGAGGCCTCGTAGAACAGGTCGATAACGATCAAACATGTTGTATTAACTGGAGACATGCAACTCGAACAGATAAGCCAGTCTTGTGAACTAATTGTAATTGGGACAGCTCAAAAAAACCAGTAAGGGCGTAGTGTCCCCAAAACTCTTCTTTGTGTGATACAAATGTATGAAGAGACAACCAAAACCGTCAAATACCTTTTTTCTTTTCTTTGATTTCTTCCCACGACGACGCATGCCATCATCCTCCTCATCGTCTTCCTCCTCATCATCATCCTCTTCCTCGTCTTCAATATCTTCGTCATCGTCTTCTTCCGGTTTGAACTGAAATCACCTCATAATTATGGGAGAACAGATTTCATTTCATTTCACATCAGCAACTGATCATTGTACTAGACACTGGTAAAAAACGAACTAATTTCCCCCGTATCAGTTAAACTATACCTTTCTTTTTCGTCCGCTTT